AAGCATTCGTAAAATCCATCTCAATAGTACAATGGTGATTGATCCAAGCGAGTAAAGGGTACATTTTGGGTGCTTCAAGCACATTTCAATGTCAAAGAAGAAAACACAGCCAGAAATCTAAGCACAGAATTCTTGAAATCTGTACCACTCAATATTTGTTCTCATTACATCTTCAGCGTTGAACTTAGCAGTTGAACAATCGAACTTAATGGTGCTTCTTTTTTTGGTACACACACTGCGTGAATAGAAACTATGTTGGGGGAAACATACAATAAAACCATGTATTTAGATTTATTTTAGTTGTAAATTTTACGTTGTTCATCAAATGACTGTTTTATTTTTGGATAAAATAAAGTAGTCAATGTTTCTTCATAACACCTCTACCACAGATTCTGATTGATTTAACTGATTACTGAATTAATTTGATTTCAGAAATATTAGAAGTACACGTATGCTTATTTGAATAATAAATTGGTTGAAAATTTACCAGCACTTATCCAAACTACCTTTTCATGGAATGGGTTAACTTAAGTAAATGTAGCCCCAAACCAGAGTGTGCAAAATGTGCAACACACTCCAGTATGCATTTTTACATAATACCTGTGGTCATGTGTACAGTTCATCGATTGATACAGGTCTAACGGTTTGGTCGCTAAAATTCTTAGCTGCTCAAAAATACAGAATCTGTGGGTGAAGTGCTATAAAAAGACTGAATATTTGTCAATGAGCACTACTCACCTCTATGGATATTCCTTGAAGTTGAACAACAATAGCTTCATGTAGGACCGACTCCAGGCAATATCCTTCCAGTGCATAATTCAGAATCCTTGAAGACTCTTCCTCGCTAATCTTCTTTCATTTTCTCCATTTTCTTAAAACACAGTGGCTTGTGTCATGTCCATGAATTTCTTTATATTCTTAAACTCAAAACACAGAGTCCAATGTGGCAGAGGTAAATGTTGATTTCCCCCCATTTGTTGAAGACTATGCCTTTATTTTATCCAGGGAACCTGCACAGTTAAACTGATTCTCACTTGGGCCAAGGTCAAACTGCAAAGGAACTTTTCTCAAAAAATGACTAAAAAACCCGTTGGGGCATTTACAGTGATTTTTAAAATCATTTTTGAAATTTTGATTTACAACAAGTTTAAGAAATGTGCTATTGAATTTTGAACACAAAAGGCACTTTTTTTTAAAGGTTTCACAGCATTTAGACAGATCACATTCCTCATTCTAAGTAGGAAATGGGAATCTGGTAAATGGTTTAATATGGGGGTAATATCTTGTTGTTACATATTATTTGGTAAAGGTTGGGGTTAGTTGAAAATGGGTTAGTTAATGGGATTGTTATTTATTGTTAATGGTTAGGGGTTGGTTGACATTCACATGGTAAATGGTTACCGGTTTATGGGGTTGTTATTGACTGTTGATGGTTGGGGGTTGGTCGAGGTTAATATGGTTGATGGATAATAGTCAATGGGATTGTTTTCATAGCTGTGAGGAAATGATCTGAGAATACTGTTACTAACAAAATGACCCTCAATTGATGCATAACGAGTCAATATATCAGAAAGCACAATTGCCTTGTATTTGGGAATAGACAATTATCACGTTCAATTTGTTCCACGTGGCAGGCAAACCCTGGATAATGGCAAGTTGATTGATTCATGATCTTGTCTGACCGTAGGTCCATTGTTTCATTTCCAGTTCAAATGGTAGAATGAATCATGTCCCATTAGATTTGAGTATTGCAGGCATCTTCAATGCTCCATTCTTCCTGTGCCCCCCAAGGTGCGAGTACTGGTTCCAGCCTTCCTTGCTGCTTCAAATTTGGCTCTAGAAGAATCTGTAAAATAATGAAATAATACTTTTCAAATCAACTTTTGCCCAATCCTCGGTAGCTCTAATTATAAACCCCTAACTCCCTTGAGTGTATGTAAAATTATATTGAATCAGAGGATTTGTGACTATTTGGACTAATGGACTCTGGGTAAGAACTTTACACTCCATCCTATTTCTATCTTAACAGTCAACAGCTTCATAAATTACCAGAACTTTAAAGCCCATTTCTACATTGAGCAATCCTTACTTGTAGGACTCTGCAAGTGTTACAACTTTCAAAAAGTTAAAATTTCAAATTTTCTTTCCAAAGTCCTCCACAAAATGGCTTCTCAACCCTTCCTAGGTAAGAAAAGGTGATCTGGGAAGTACTTTTATATGACCTTGGACCAGTAGTGACTGCTTTTGCATTTGTACTGAGACAACAACAGGTGACAGCAAACTGACATTGAGCCCCACTTATGAATTTCACTGCAAGAAATTTATATCTGATTTCATGCGTAAGGTCAAGCATAACATTAGGTCCCTAATTTCGCCACCTATTGTAAAGTCTGATTGGTTTTTCTGATTGAAGCGGATGAGTATGGCAGGGAATACGTTATACGCTGCATTGTGAAGCTGTTAACACACTTGTAAATGGTCGAGCCAATACCAGATGTTTGTGATGTTGTGCATGTGCAGTTTGTGACGCATCATATGTAAATGGCCACAGCTCGCAGATGGGCGGATAATTTTGTGAAAAGCGGCAGAATGGAAAGTAAAAGCTCTGAATTTTGCCAAAAAAGTTGATTACATGGTCCAAACACCATCAGGCATGCGATTTAAAGATATATTGGCGGCTTCTGGGGAGAAGAGTTGACTGAGAATTTAAAGTACAGTTTTGTCAAAGAACGGAGGGACACCAATGGCTGCATTCAAAATCCCATTGTTTTAATGTCAGAAACCCATTCTGAAAGTAAAAAAAATACATATTTTTTCAGTATTTTGGGCCACAAAATGTGACCTTTTTTCAGTCTGAACAATCAACACTAGGCATATACATCAGACATGTTACAGAAATGCATCCAATTTCAAATGAAAATGCAAGGTAATATAGGCCTTCTTCCCCAATTACCTTGCTTCTTTTTGAAAGTCTATCTTTTACAGGAAGGGTTGAAGAGCCATTCTGTGGAGGATTTTGCAAAAAAACTTGGAATTTCAAGAATTCCATATTCAGACATCACTTGACATGTCACAAACCGCATAAGACTGGTCTGAAAAATTCTAAATGTTTTCTAAGTAAATGCTTCAATATTTTCACTGCTAAATTTGACTCTTCAAGACACGTTATCACTTTTAAATGGCTAACAAATTGCTGTATGAGAAAATTAGTGATGTTCGTACATGGAACTCCGGTCCTACTCCCAGTCCCACCCCGAACTTGCTTAGCCAACCGTGACGAAGTGAATGAGTCTCAGTCGAACCTTAATTTTGCGCTAAAAAAGTCGGTGTTTCGAACTTTAATTAGTTCAGTTTACTCTTTATTCAGTAAACAGTGCCATGTATTCAATTACTAGGGCCAAAACAGCTCCATTTCGCTCAAAAGCGGCAGACTTACTTTGGATGCCAAGATGGTGTAGAGAAAACCTCTTTCTAGGATGCCCGCGAATTTGTGAATGCGCGTCACCCCACGTGTTGATTTCATTGTTTTACAGTTACACTGGTTCCAGTTCCTGCGTTCACTTCAAGTTTGTATTCATTGCGGCGGAAACCAATCATTGCGCAGTTGAAATTTGATTGGACAATTGTCGAGTAATTTTTTTATAAAGGCATTTATTCATTTTAAAGCCCAGCTCTGAATAAATTATACAAAAAATAATAATAACAAGGAAATTCTTATTATAGCACATGTAAGATTACATCAGCATTACGAACAACGTCGCCGAGTGAAAGGGCGTGGTTTAGCAGTCAGCACTAGTTTCCGTCCAGTACGCAGTCTCCAGGGTGCGTTTGAGTCTAACTCGTGTTAACACGAGCATACACCTTAGCTCTCGAATGGCTGAAGTACGACCGCGGGCCAGCGATAGTGTACTCTCCCTAGATGGGGAGGGGTTATTTCACCTCTCGGAGGAGGGGTATACTCCTGCACCCGAAGGTAATGCGCACGCATCCTGTGTTTTTTAACAGCAGTAACCGCGCGAACGAACGCCACTACGTCTTCAGACGTCCTCCAAACTAGGGACCAGTAGCTGGTAATCCTAATGGGCGAATTGTACCACAAATGTTAGCTCATTAATAAAAGTTAGGCCCATACACTCTAGGTATTCAATATTATAAAGTCCTCAGAGCCATGAAATTGGGGAATCGAAGAAATACGGCACTCGAAACTCTGGCCTGGAGATGGGGCTTCCAAGTCTGAGCAATTTGGATGCAATCAGCCTCGGAAGTGGCACCATTTAGCTGGTTTGCATCGGATGCACTTTTTTAAAATGGCTGCTTTTCCGGGCAGGGAAATTTCCTTCCTTTTAGGGGTGACCTACCTTGGGTGAGAATTCTCAAAATGGTCAACATTCTAAAAATTGAAAGGAAAATGAAGGAGGATATGTCAAACATCATTTTTCCTGTGGAGCAACCTGAACACATGTGGGAGCTGTGAGTATTTTTAGAAATAACTTTGAAGTACAGGAATTTATCATTGATGTCTATGGGACTTTACTTACAGCGGTGCATCCTAATGATTCCTCCGGAATCCTGCTGGTTCTAAGTTGATGAGGAAATTAGCATATAACAGTTCGTGACAACACTGTCACGTGATAAATCTTTGGAAGACCATAGACCTGCTGTGTTTTTTCTCCCCCAGTAAACCAGATGCCCGTGGACGTGGTGGATATTTTGAATTTGGAAATGGAGTTTTCGATTTTACTTCGAAGTTGTCCTTGACAAAAGTCAGTGCCAGACAGAACACTGAGTATTGCTTATTTGAAACCAAGCTGTCACACGCGCGCACGATCGATCCGAAAGGTTGTGTGTAACATCATAAATGTCTGAATGTACGTGAAAATTAGAAAAAGTGAATGTGCATGCGCAGAGCTAAACCAATCACGGACCACAGGCACAAGCTAGCTACCAATCCTTGTGTGTAACAACAAGGACGGGGACCAGTCCATGTGTGGAATCCTACATACTAGGCCGCGCCGGCGCGCCGTGCACCAGAACTGTAAATCTGGGAGGGTATTGAGATTTAACTTCCGGCACACGGTACGGAGGCGAAAATGAGGGGAAAACAACGCGTTCCCGGGGAGATTTGCGCCGATTGTGGAACACCAGGTAGGAGAGAATCGTGGAAATAATATGTAGGATAATCAAGGATGGGTCATAATCGACCACTGAGAGAAATTGACCTTGATCTGCGGGTTGGTTTGGCTAGTTCGAGTTTCATTGTGTCATGTCCACTTTCCGGACGCAGACTGCATGGACAAATGCACCGTGTGTTGTTAGAGAGTTTGCAGAAACCAACCCGTGTTTGCAGTACAAATCATCTTGTCAGGCTTGTTGTTCAGACACTCAGCGGGTAGGCTTGACATGCTTAGCCTAACATGTTAGGCCCATGTGCCATGTTTGGTTTTCTGATTTTTGCTTTGTTTATTGTTTAGTTTTCTTGTTTCTGTTTTTGGCATTTCTTGGGCCNTTTTGTGTATAGGCCCTAGACTCTAGAGACTAGTAAAAGATCCGCATCATTCATAGTTTTGAAAGCAACGCCAACAAGTTAACCATACTATTTTCCAAACCCTATTTTCCCTGTGTATGGAGCCATCTTTCCTCACTAAAGCACCCTTGAAATGTAAAATTAACAACTAAGAGCCACTCCCTTTTAACATGTTTAAGCTTGGTGGTGTTTATTGCTATGGTCCGATGCAGACTTTGTCCTGTTTTTAACTCAGACATCTGCTAAAAGGACACAGAAATTGGAGAGAATATTGCATTCCACTTCCACTTTTTATAATCATGCATGTATATCATCTCAATAAAGGTCTGTTATTGCAGAAATGCCAAATAGAGATGAATCTTGGACCGAAAACATTTCCAAGTTTGTCCGGAAAAGAAAATTTTCTTGATTTCCCGTAGACAACCACAGCAGTGGAGTCAGGATGCAACATTCTCTCTTCCCATCCATTGGACTTTACACTAAGTGTAAATTTTGTTCCATCAGATCCAGGGTGGGCGTCTTTAAATCGAGGGGTGCTGGTGTGCGATGAGTGTTGCTGTGTGCATCGTAGTCTTGGTCGCCACATCTCTCAGGTCCGGGCGCTGAACCATGGACCACCCTGGCCTAGAAGTCTCAGAGAGGTAGGTTGCTGGGAGAAGTTCCCATGGTTGACAGTGTTCAAATAACAAAGGTTCATGAGTGATAAGGGTGCATTGCTTTCATGAGGTGAAAAATGAACTGGACCATTTTCCTGATGCAATCTGTCACCAAATGAAATTACTCTCACTGTAGCTCAAACGGCCAATAGTTATTGTTTGTTTTACACAGCAAGCGTCATAAATAAATTAAGAAATAACCTAAATATCACTTGAATAAATCCTTAAAACCCCGTCTGAATAAATCTTTACATCATCTACCAGTTCAGACATTTTTTGTGATCTGGAATGGATGGAACCATTTATCTGATTGTGCCTGATGAATCGTGTAGTCCATTATTGCAATTTGAACATGTTGTGCATTTAGACGTGTAGTTCGTGACTTGTGATGGACTATCCACCAATTACATGACACAGATTTTGGGCATTGTGTGATGGGCAACTGGCTTTGTTTATATAAGGAGGACATACCTCAGTTAAGAAGCGTGATTTACAATGCATGAATGATTGCATTTTTAACCCTAACCCCCAGGCCTTTTTGCTAGGCACCATCCTCATTCCTCCAAAATCCTCCAATTTTTCTGGAATGTGTTCCTTTGAGAGGTGCTCACGGCCTCAATCCTTCAAAATCCTGCGGCAGGTTCTCTCATTGTGTTGATGCAGTGCGAATGGTATCTTGGAGGATTTCACACATAATGTAGGCATAAATTTATGCATGACTGAACATAAGCAACACAAGGTCTGACCCACAGCCTCGAAACAATGCATCCTTCGCAATTGGCCACACAAATTTGTCATTCAACTTCAATCCTCCAAAGTCTGTCATATCCTCCCCCCAGGGATTTGGAGGATTGAGGACGGTGTGGGTTAATGTCGGTAAATCCATATGTGGACATGTATAGCTGTTGTCAACGAGTGGCTTTTTTCAATCTACTTCACACAAAGCAGATCATTTGCTTGTTACCCAGTCCACAGAAAATGGTTCTATGAGGCGTTAGTGATGGCCTGTAACATTAATCCATCACAGTGGAAATCAAGAGCGACTCTCAATATTTTTCGTCCATGAAGTCCTTTCACATCAGGATGCTGAACTGAGCGATACATCAAACCAAATTGCTCCCTTTGCTCCATCATAAACAAAAACAGCCTTAAGGTTCAACTTGTGGGATCCTATAACATTTTGGAAGCATCGTTGAACAAAAGATCTGTAACCTTTGCAGATGGTCTATGCACTTGTCACCAACGGAGCCAATTCGATCTGGGAACATTCACTCCTGGACCCATCGCAAGTCCGCAGCGGCAAGCGCAAACCTTCCCCCAAGGATCCCATACAGTAAGTCCAAAAAGAACCCCCTCCCCTTCCCCTTATGAAACAAGCCTCAGTGCCCGTCTCAGACTAGCATGAGAATGGTGCTGTCCCTTCGTTGTCTTGCCATGTTCACTCTTGCTGATTTCAAGTTCAGTTTTTCATCTTGTCTCTTTGAGAAGTTTAGTCCATTTTTATTACAAGTTTTTGGATAATGCCCTTTTTTGGTGGGAGAGGATGAAAGTAGTTAACTTGAAATCCCCTCTATTCTGATCAGTCAGATTTCCCTCAAACATGTATATAAATTGAAACCCTGCTGTCTTTCCACAAAATGAAACCTGCTGAATATTCAACATGTTGTTATTGGCATCTGTCTACGTGTGTCAGTTTTGTTGGGCACTTTATAGCCAGCTATTCATGTGAGTTACAAACTTTTATGAGAACAGGCACAAAATTTGAAATTTTATGTGGTATTTTCTACAAAAGTAAATATTTACAAGAGTCATGTTCACATCAAGTTTCATAACCTTAACTGCTTGACAAACCCATTACAAGTTACAGTGCAGCCTGGATACAGGTTGGCCTTGAGCAAAAAGCAAGTTTTTTCCTGTACAGTTGAGTGCTCTGTCAATGCTGACATCTAGGCAATCTTTCCTCGTTGATTTGTTTCAAATCGTTAAGCAACTTACTTTTGAATCAGAATTTTGGTTCCAAATGGGATATTAGGTCAATAGGTTCCAGACGTGTTTGTGTTTTTGTGGAAATTGGAGGACTACATGTTGATCCCAGCTATTGTTGTCTCGTTGTTTGCTGCTTTTGTTTGTTCCTTGTCGATTGGGAATTTGTCTGTTTGTCTGCTTGTCTGACTGCATGTTTGTGCCACACAACACACAGTGCAAGGAACTGTGATATGGAATCGGGAGATAACTGGAGCCTCCTTCACAGCATTACCAAACGCCGATCGTTGACAAGGAACGTCGACTTCAATGCAAGGTTGTAATTTATCAAACTCTCTTTTTTCCCGTCCATGCGGCAGCCATTTTGTTTTGACCTCAAGACAGCGGTCAGTCTGCGAGCTAACAAAGTACAGTTCTTCCAGTTCACATGTTCAGCCGTGTCAAAATTGAGTGGCTATGGCTAGATGAAGCATGTGCCTATGGGAAGTGGCTGTAACTTCTAGCCAGCGACTTTCATAGGGACACATGTTATTTTCAATGGCACTCACCACTTTCTGACACGGCTTTAGTCTGTGTTTTCCTTTCTCGATTTATGTTCATGCACCTGCTGTGAGCTGGAAGTTCATATAATGCCACTCGTCACCTCTGAATTTAACTGTCCTGAGAGTTTTTATTTTCTGTAACTCTAACTGTCCCACATTGTAAAGTCTTCTTAAATCCAGCATTAATTTTGCCATTGTTTCGGTAGAGTTGCATGAGTTCTGCTCATTACGTTACATTGATGTTTTAACTTTATTTAGATGCACAAAATGAGCAGAGTGTTGGATTTGGGGCCATCCCAAAACATTTCAAGCGAAATTGACCAATAAAATCATCAACAACACAATCTTAGAAGTTAATTGTCAGACAAATACGGCATGATTATTTTTTTTTCACAGCAGCCTTTGTTAAAATATTTTATGAAGACCCGTTTTCAGGGATAGGGGAAATCCCACCTGCATGTCAATGCTTTAACCTCAAAGATAAGGAAATCATTTAAAATGCTGACATTTCTTGTCCTTCTAATTAATTTCCTTGTTCCTAGTGGTGCATGAGGTCGACCTCATCTTTGTATGTTAATGTTTTTCCTGTTTTGAGCGTCCCTCTTTTTTTTACGCTGCTGAATCCAAGAAAGTTGGAGCGTGTTCCAATGCAGAAAAATCTTCTTGCAGTAGTTTGAAATGCCTTTTATATCCTGTCAGATTGCCATACTTTCCATCATTCCATGGGAATTGGATGGCTCAAGAATTTTGAAGACAAGAACGTAGCCTTGGCATTGGTTCATATCATAAAATCATGCTACACTAACTTTTGCCATATCCATCAAAATCCACTACTAGGATTTGAAGGATTTTGAAGGATTGAGGAAGGCAGACCCTAGTCACTAAATTACTTTAAGGGGGGTTTGAGCTCTGTGAACAGGTTAAATGCAGAATATTAGCCACTGGGTGGATTTAGCGGAATTTAGGAAGTTTATATGTACTTGCAGAGAGTTTAAAGTTACACACAAAGAGTTTTTGTTTTTGGAAACCCCTTTCTACCGAGTTCAAACAGAAAATGATAAAGTTCCTCATTTCTGTACTTGGTATCATCTTCATTTTAGTGTGCACAGTCCCCCGACTCCTTCCCACACAGCACATGGTTTTTACGCTCATGGTAATGATTAATATGAGATGGCATCTGGCCACAAATTGGGTTGCAAATTAGAATAAGCCATTTCCATCCGCTGTCACCTGTCGGGCTGAAGCTGTCAACAATACAATATGTGTACGTGTGTCTTTCAGGGTTGCATGGGAAATTTGATGTCTTAATTTTGAATTGTTACCCAAGCCATGACTCACATGATATTTTGCAAACCCTTGTGCCAAAGCTTGTTAAATCATGAAAAAAAAGGGACAAGCATGGGAACCGACTGAGGAATAGTACTACATTGAATTTGCCGTCCACTGGTGACTGTCCCTACAGTGTACTTGCATGTTCATTGGAGGGCTCTTTGGAGTCGTAACCACAAATTGGTTCGCTTGTTTCTTGTTGTTGAATTTCTTTAAGTCAAGTTTTATGGGGCAGGAATTACCGGCACACATGTGTGCTTGATGGTGAGCTTCAGGACTGAAATCCCCCCCAAAAAATCACCACAGAAAAACCTTGAACAAATTCTTGGTTATGACTGCCGAAAATGAAGCCTCGGATGGAACCCAGAACAGATGCACACGTACACATGTAGCTGAACAACTTCTACCGCGACAAAACTAACAGTTCATTTTTTTGTCCCGACAATTAATTGCAATTAATGTGACAGACAGAGAAAAGGTATGGCCATATTAAGGCATGGTGTTGCTCCCTGAAAACAGGGAGGTTGTTCCCCGTTCTCTGTTGTGGTTTCATGTAAACTAGAGGTTTTAACCACGAGTACAAGCATCTTGGAACGTACTGTCCATTCATCACAACTCTGACATGTAAGTTATTGTTTGCAGTCTCAGCAACTCATGAGGGGAAAAAGCTGTGCTTCAGAAGTGGTACCACCATCAAGAAAGTTTTAGTTATTTAAATATCGAGATCTTGTGTTGCTTTTTTTTTAGGTCTAATACACTTCCTATCTGCTAATACACATGTACATGTATTTATATGTTAATTAAGTGACGATGATAGAAATAGCACATGAACACATTAACCCTAACCCTCCTCAATCCTCCAACAGGTGAAGGATTGAGGAGGGTTAGGGTTAAGCACCAGTCGTCTTGTTTTATTTTACTGCTTTTTTATTTTATGCTTTATGGTTTGTTTTGTTGCGTGAAGTTTTGTTACATTTGAAAGCAAGATACCGGTATTACTGAACCTTCCCAAGATTATTTCAATTTTCGGTTCACGTAACTTTAACAATGACTCGTACCTGTAGGTCATGCTTTAAACTGTATGATATTCTGTGAGTTTGAAAGGTTAGAATGCATCTTTACACTTTGTTGTGTACAACTGTAAAGTTGAGTTGTGATTTTTGGTGCAGTTGTCAAGTAGCTTTCAGAGCAAAAAATAACAATAATCACACTGTCATTTTATCGAAGTGTTCCATATCCTGTTCATGTTGTTTAATCAAAATGAGATGCAAATTATGAAATATTTTGCATCTGATGACATAGCAGCTAGTTAAAGGCTTCTGCTCGGCTGCCCTATTTAGGAGGGGCACAGACTCGTCGTTTATTTTTCCAAGTTTGGCGGCTGGCACGGTCAAGGTTTGACTGGTATTTATCACCCCATCCATGACTGTGTTCCTATGGCAATGGGCTGTCCATGTTAATTGAGTACTTCCTCTTTGCCGTTTAGATAATAATTCCAACTCCAGTGTGCTGTTCAGATTGGATTGTCTTTCTTAAAGGAAAAACAACTTAAAAAAATACAGGCTTAACAACATCTTGGAAACAAAAGCATGTTAAAGACTTTGTGAAATAGTTTCATAGAACGCTATCAAATTTAAAAAATCTGCATCATCAATGCATACATCTGACAGAAATATTAAAATTTAAGAATGTTTTCAATGCATCAAGAAAATATGTAAAGGTTTTAATCGATATTCCAGAAACCTGTTTATTCCTTAATGTATTTTTATATTTTTTGCACTGCTTGAATTAGAGTTAACATGAGTGCAAAGAAGACTGAAAAAGTTTGTAAAATTTGAGGGGAATTTTTTATCTTGGATTTGACTTTGTCTTGGAGTTAATAGAATGACCTGCAAAAAATCTTGAAAGGTCACACATTTCTAACCTTGACTGAGGAATATAGCTTAGATATGCAGAGCTCAAAATACACCGTGTATCAGCTGTTAATCCTCTAATCCCCATGGTAATGACAACCAGGTCCGGCCGATCCAATCAGGAAGCTTTGGAAAGTTTCTCCTAAAGTTGCATACTTTGACCTGACAAGAAGTTGGTGGATCGAGGGTTGCAGATCGTGGGCCAAGAATGAATTTGAGGAGGGTAGTCCAGCGGAAAGGTGTCCATTTGGCCACTCTTTCCTGTTCTTAATGCCTCACCAAAACTGTTATCAAATACTCAAATTAATGACCAAATACGAGCTGCTTAGAAACAATGATCAATCACTTTACAGAAAGCACATTATCTCTTGAACCTCTTCCAGCAGAATTTCCCATTCCGTAGTAATTGCATAGTGTTTCTTCCTGTTCCTGAATTGGATATTCTATTTTTTTTGTCTGTACCGTTTTAACAGTCCTTCCAAGTCAGAGTTCATTCGTGCCAAGTACCAGCGACTGGATTTTGTACTCCGACTCAAAGAAGAAGACGGTTCCAGTGTCAAGGACCTTAGTCAAGTAAGATCAAATGTCACTCCAATTGACCTTTCATATCTCAGAAGACTTTAAATGATGATCTACCAAGTGATTTGATTTTTGGTTGTTTCTTAGTTAATTTACTCTTGGTCAGTAAAGAAAATTGACTCCAATTGTTCAGTTAGGTCATAGGTCATACTAGTCTTTACTTTTAATAATTTGAGCTGCCGTGCAAATTTGAAATGTTAGTTTTTTGCATTTCCTTGTTTTGTGTGATTAATCACTGAACGATAAAAGTGTTCAAACTGGTCAGGAAGATGTGCTGTCTTCTTGACTGGTTTCTGCCCTTTCCTGTCATATTTCAAGCATACAGTACAGGGAAAGAGAACCAGCCAGTTAAGTGGTTGGCCCTTTTATCACAAACACTGCTTAAAGCCCCCCCCAAAAAAAACCCATTTATCTGACATTCAAAAGAACAGTCAGTGTTTTTAACGTACTGGTTTATTGGATTTGTTTCTTGGAATGCTTAAAATAGCCATGTGAGATTGAGTCTTCCCAAGGCTGATTGTTGGATGCACCACACCCTTCAAACTTGACCTCTACTTAAAAGGTCTGGTCGGACCCATGTCAAATAACCTGGACAGCCGTGCTTGAAAACAGATCTTCCATTTTTTTTTGCTTTGACAGGTTTAAGAGCACAGACCCTCCCCCAGTCTACTTTTTAACGATCCGTACTTCCTTTGTTTCCTCCCCCTGCAGCAACTCCACTCCAGCGTTCGGACAGGCAACTTGGAGACTTGTCTGCGCCTGCTGTCCCTCGGCGCGCAGGCTAACTTCTACCACGTGGTAAAGACCTCTGGACGGATTTTGTTTTGCTTTCATTTGCCTCGACGAAACAGTGGCCAGTTTGAGTTTCGCTACTCTAGGGGTAGTGGCAAAGGTCGGAAATATCAGCTCACATGTGACTCATGGTGGCTGGTCATGAATAGGTCAAATTCCTAACTATGGCCAGTTCCGTTGTCCTTGGCTCCGTATTCTACCATTCAGAGAAAATTATCGTGTCGGGCAAAACAGCCAACATTCAGCCAGCGCCCATTTTTGCAATCTATTTCATGTTGGATTAATTTCTATTTGCCAACTTTAGTGAAGTTGTTTATTCCACATTATCCCAAAATGGTGTCAGCCTGTTACCACGGCAACATGTAGCATTCCGTGGTTCTTTGCACATTCCAAATTTCCCTAGAAATTTCTTTAAAAGATGGACACTGCCAACAAAAGAAACAGCACTTGAGTTTAGGCCCCATCTTAACTTCTACTGTTTGACACAACAGGATATGTTGTGAAAATTCCTTCTAAACCATATCAGTCTGTTACCCACAAAATTACCCTTTGCAATCAACCTGTCCGACATGTGTCTCCCTGTGATTCCATGCTCTGTTCACGCAACAATTGCCCTTCGTTCAAAGGAGTTTATAATTAAACCTAACAGTCCTCAACTATTTCAAAGTGTTGGAGGGTTGTGGACTGCTACTCAAAAATAAAAACTTTAAAAAAAAATTAACTTATGTCTTGCTGTTGAACAGCAAATGTACATGTGTTTCAGTGTCATACTGGAACTGGTTATTGGGAGCAATATTTGGCATTAGATTGGTTAACATTTTAGTATACACAACAGCTTCCCATTACGTAAAGCTGCTCTGTGGATTTACGTGCAAAGCAGAGAAGAGCTGGGCACCGGTCATGAGCAGCATGCACTGCATGCTGTCCTGGCTGGTAACCCATTTTTTGGGCTGTATTTTGTGTGGTGTAGAAGTGCTGTAAAATTGATCCCAGTTCTTTGCCTAACAAAATAGTCTGCTCTTCCCCTCTATGAACAAAGGTGTAGATCTACGGGTGGGGGATGATGGAATTGGGGTGGTATTCTCTATCCACTCTTTAGGGCATGGATGGCTCTAGGATAATCCATTCCCCATCCCCCAGATAGTGACATTGTTCTATTTAAGATGAACCTAAGGGGCCAGTCTTTAATCTTAAATTCAGGAGAAACTGTCTCATCAAGTTTACTTGCAATCATTCCTGATTTTCATAGCCCCAGTTACGCCGTAACATTTGCCATTTTTTGATCTCCGTTTTTAGGAGAAAGGCAACACGCCGCTCCATGTCGCCAGTTACTCTGGCCAGAGCTTACAGTGTGAGCTCCTCATGGCTTACGGGGCTGACCCAGGGGCAATGGACATCAATGGGCTTACGCCAGCCGACTTAGCTAGGTATGTGTAAGTCGCCTTCATCTTGATATCAAGCAGTCCTTGAAATTGGAAATAAGCAGCCGACTTCCTGAAACTTTGCACAACCTTACACCATGCATAAGCTTTAAAGCAAGACGTTTGTGACAAGAGCTATGCATGGTACTTATGATCAATTTCAAGAAAAGTTGCTGCAGTGTTTAATATTTGAAGCATCTTGGACAAGGGGATTTCAGCTTCTACAACAGCTATAGATCATGGTGCTGCCATGTTTGTCTTGTTCCCCGTAGACCAATTGGCAATAGTAATACAACTTCACATGCTGATAAAGGAAACAGACTATTTTTCCTTCCTTCCAGCCTCAGTTTGGTTACATTGCCTTGAATGATAAAAAAGAAGGGGCTACCCTATGATAGAAGTCTATTCCTTAGCAGTTTGGCAGCAGTTAGCCTGAAAAAATTCTGCTGGGATCAAAATGCCATGCTCAATTTGGAGTTGTACATTTCAAGTAACTGTAGTCTACATGCAAGAGAGTTTGTGTACAAATTTATGGAACAGGTGTCCGGAGGAGCTTTTTGTGTGTGTTTATGTGCTTTTGTTTTTTACTTCAGAGAGGAGGGTCACTTAGAATTGGCGGAGCGCCTAGTTCAGTGCCAGTACGAGCTGACCGACAGACTGACCTTCTTTGTTTGCAGTAAGAGACCAGGTCAGTTCATTCCTAACCTTCCCAGCCCCTTCAAAATCCATCAAGAAAGTTAAATCTGATAGGAAATGCAATGAGGTCATTCATTAAATGTCGGGTCAAGTGTGTGACAATTTTCTGTCCCAGTCACACCTGACCTGTTTATTTGACAAGGGATATCATTAATATTGACTTCAAAGTATTTTTATTTGTTTGGCAGGCAATTTGCATTATATGTAATCACTCTTGAAAATTAAAGAATTTGTTCTGAACTCATAAGATCATATGCCTAATGTGATAGGGACAGAAAAAAAACTGGACCCCAAATTAAGAGAATGACCCAATTCTAGGTTGAGACTGTATGAGTTTAGTGCAGTACTCTGTAGACAAGCCAAAGTTTGGGTATGGCTGGCCACGGGAGAATTCCACGAGCTAGAAGTCGTATCCATTTCCCACAGACGTGTTGCTGCCAAGGTATTTTTTTTAAGAGGCAACCCATCATGTGGCAGTATCGTGTACGTTGATTGGTCTTTATTCCTTTGCAGATCATCTTGCCGGCCAGCATTTCTTGATCCCTGAGATGGCGGATAGTTCCCTGGATCGTTCCGAGGCTGCCGAACAGGCCAGGAAGAAACTGCAAGCCGTAAGTTGGATACACAAAACAAAACAAAAAATCTCCAGAAAATTAGGGTTTTGTTCCCATTCACAAGCGACATCCGTGTAGTCGATAAGAAACTCAAATATATCTTGCTTTAAATACTGGCGTCGTCATGGCCATAGGGCGTTAGCACAATAAGCCATTTGCGAGTTAAATTTGAATAAAATCTGGTGCACTGAGTTATCTGACTACACATAAACAAAACGATTTGAATTTCTCAGACTAAAGACACTGTTTCTATACCCCGGGGCAAGCTTTTGCATAGTGACCATCATCTCTGGAATGGACTGGTTCCTTTGTGCCCTTCTTATCCACTGAGAACAGTGTATTGTTGCAAGGCGTCTCTTACGTAACTAAGCAAAAGCTTGCCCCGAATCACGAGGTATAGCAATAGCAGTTTTAGTAAGGAGAATTCAAGTTGTTATGTTCACATGAATTTAAAGAACTCAGTGTACCAGATTTGGGTCAAGGTTAACTCGCAAAAGCTTATTCTTTGCTAGGATAGAGGTCTGAATTATTTTTACTGAGAGTAGGTTGTGTTACTTCTGTGCCAGTTTCCAAATGTATTCAGAAGACGCCTGTTTCTGGTTAATTGAGTGGGACTTCAATCTGCATATCAGTGTTGTGGTCAAGTCTTGAGTCCTAGTCCCAGTCCAAAAACTCTTGAGTCCAAAAATCCAAGTCCCGCAAACAACCAAGTCTTTGTCCGAATTTGTCAAAGTGGAATGGAGTGCCAACTCACTCCCCCAAGTTTACGGCACCTGGTCCCCATAAAGAAATTGACCTGAAACTTTTGTGTATGAAGAACTCAGCAACAGTGCACATAGAGGTGACTGACCGCTGAAGCACAGTACGTGTTCTGGCACTCTGATTGGAGTATGCAGTTTTTCAATAGTTTCCCGTGCTGTAAGAAGTCTTGTAATACGATTTCCACGTGCATTCAGGGCCTACCACATTGTACCGGTAGCTCTCAGAACGTCAGTACATTTTTCGTGATCCTTTTGGTCACATTTTCCTACAGCTGAGTAATCACTTGTTTGAGGAACTGGCCATGGATGTGTACGATGAAGTCGACAGGCGGGAACTGGATGCGAGTAAGTCAGCATGCACTCTGACGTTAAGCAAAGACTACAGATTCTCTTGTTGGCCATTCAGAAAGTCACACAACCCAAAAGGGGCGGTGATTGCTGATTCTGGTAGCGTCCCAATTGCTGCACACACACCCAAGTGTATAGTTGCCTGCAACTGGGGACCTCCTATTGTTCCTCTTTTGTTTGTACTTTAACTTTTTTAGAAGACCACCCATATGTTTTGTACACAGTTGTCAATCGGGGACCCTCTGTCAATCGGGGACTTTATTGTCCTCTATTGTTCAGGGTCCCCAATTGAATGCACGCACACACACACACACACATAGCCAACTTGTATACCATTAAAGCTTAATTATTCTTCTGACCCCGGAACATAATACCACAAACCCTCCGTAGCTCCAAAAATATAACTTTACTTCAATCCCGTGAAACGTACCTCTTACCCTAGACAATGAGGACACCCAGTCCGGTGAGAAATAAGGATGGTTGGGTTGTACAACCTCTTACATCCGCCAGGACTGTATTGCTGATGTATTTAGCATTGTTGAGGTTTGCTGTGTTTTTCCTTATTTTATACTGTGCCTCTTTCTTCCGTTTTTTTTTTTTTTATCAACAGTTTGGTCGTCGCTTCAGAAACCCAATTTTATTGGTGCCGACAGGACAGTTCTGTTCCTGCCGCTCAACCCGGAGCTTTCCTCAACAAGAAATCAGGTTTGCCCAACTTTTTGTTTTTTTGGTTTTTTTGTCAACCACACCAATTTTGGGCAGTGCTGTGAGATAAATGATCAGAACTGTGCAGCAAGCATGTGTTTGTAAAGTTTTTCTGATGTGGGCCACCATTTTAGGGTTCATAGGATTGTGGAAATAACAGAGGTGTCTTTATAAATTTAAGGTAGTTGAATTAATGGATGTGTCGTGATTAAAATTAACCACAACTTGTATTTGCTTTTTTAGGTCTGAAAAATCACAGAAAGCCTCATTTTGTTGTGGATTTTGGTAGATTTGTTGGAGGCCAGTTGATCTCAGTCAGAATTTTTTGCAGACTAAAAAGTCCATAGTTTTTCTTGCATATCTTCACACATCGAGGGAAATAATGATTCTGTGCCATAAATGTACATTGAACAAGTATTCATTTAAATTTTGTAAGAAGAAAATGTAAATTAAGCCGTGTTATAGTTTTTGGGATCAACTCGCTTAATCTATGAAAAATTGCATATTTTACCCAAGTTGGGTCATTCTATAAATTCGGTGTCCAAAAGTGACATTTTGGTGTCCCTGTTGTGCCTGACCTGGGAAACTTGATGTTAAATGTCATTGATTCTGACTTCAAACTACTTTGGTTTGGCATATCATTTGTATTACTTTATGACTCCGGGAAATTAAAAATTTTGTTTTGAACTGAACAAAATCCTGTGTCAAATGTGACATTTGACCTGAAAAATGTTGGACCTCAAATTGACTTGTACGGAAAGACCTATTTGTAACTTCCCATCTACTGTTCCTACTTGTACACGTATATACAATTTTTTTGTCTTTCTCCGAAATTTCAGTTGACTGTTTCAAGAAACTGCTTTAACTTTTAGAACATCTCTACTGGTTTCCAGGGTCGTCAGAAACTAGCTCGGTTCAGTGCCCGGGAGTTTGCTACACTGATCATTGACATACTAAAGGAGGCCAAAAGAAGACAGCAGGGTACCCTGTCTCTTACAAGGCCCTCAGTGGATAAAGGTATGCATCTCATACAGTAGTCAGGTACCCAAACGTAAAATATGTTTGGAAGAGTTATACGTTTCCATGAATGTAAACTTAGAAACTAGAGAAACTTTACTATTAATTGCATAGAAACTGAAGTGAAGATTTATAGTATGATCAATGATTGTTTTAAGTTTGTATTCAAGGAAGATCCTTTAAATAAACTCTTTAAGATAGATGGTCAAATAATTTGATGAATGTAACTTTTCTGAAATGTACTTGGAGTTTAACGTTATTAAGTCTCTTTTTACCACTACTGTTTGAAAATACCTTTTACATTGTATGAAGTAAGCAACAGGATTTGACTTGCAAACCTTTGAGTTTGGAAATTTTCACACCAATAAGTTTGCTTTCAGCTGTAAATGAATTATTTCTAAATTAAGGATAATTCCTCTGGCTTCATTTTTTGTCTCCTACATATGAAGCAGGTGATTTTGATATCTGATAATTTTCCACACTTTTCATTTCCAGAATATTACGTGAATTTATTTGAAGTAAAAACATTGACTGCAAGAAGCTTTGTTTGGCAGTTACAGGCAACAAAAGTTGTGAAATGTGGATTTCTCATTGGCGCATTGGTATCATTTTCCAGATAGCTTAAAATTCTTAAGCCTTGTTTTGGAATGGTGTGCTGCATGGATCTTTAATATAATTGAATGCTTTTTAAAAATTTAGTTTATGGATTTGTTGTAAATTACCATTCTCCTTTCCAGAGACTGTTGAAGTCCACAGGGCTCCCCCACCTCCCATCCATGAGAAACCCACCCTGGACAATCAAAACGTCTTTGACGACAACGAGCCCCTCTACGACAGCGTGGCATCGGACGAGGATTGCGGGGACCTGTCGGAGGGGAGCCGCAAATCGGACCAGAGAGGCCTTCTCAAAGAGGCCCTCAAACCACGGGTGAGTAGCATCCGGATATCCGTCTGTCTGTTCATCTGTCTGGCTGTGTTTCTGATTTGCCTGCTAATTTTCAGTCTGACAGCATGCCTAAGAAACTGTCTTAAAGGTGTTCTGTACATGGCCCGAAAGCAAAACGTGAACACGAAAATTGTGACGTCGGATCAGGTATTTGTACTGGGAATTCACAAAAGTTGAACACATTTCTACTTGAGCATATTTCGGTGCAGATGTTTAGTGACATCCAGATTTGCTTTGCTTTTGCATTGGCCTGAAGTTGTTTCCGGCCTTTATTCCGATAATCGGCGTGCTAGTTGCAACCTCGGTTAATTTTTCAAACTTGGTGGTCACAAAAATTCTGAAGTGATATTGTCGACGTGTGCATAGAGTCCATATGGAGAACATATACATGCAAGCACATATTTTGTTGTTTCACTATATCAAAAACCAAACAGTTTAGAGCATTTTGAAAACTTTAAGAGGCAAAGGAGGCCATTATGTAATTTTATTTATATACATTGCATTCTAATATTGAGAGTTGTACAGCATTTTGAAGTTAATTTTTGTGGTCTTATAAACGGCACAGTTATAGCAATGCCATTCATTGTAGCAAGGTCTCGAATTGTGCTCTTAATGAGAACAACCCAGTCTTTGAACTGTTTGTCTTCTGGTACGTGCGCCACACTACTGTCTGCGTAGCTCTCACAACTGTATGCTGCGTTGTTTTCAACGGATGTCATTAATTAGACTGTCAGTGAAAGGCCTGTGATATCCGTAGGGAAGGTTGGAGGAAAATGTGTAACGAGACAGGGGAAAGGACATTTCCTCTTGTGCAATGTTAATTGCCAGCTGAAGCCCCCCCAAAATAAATACTCAGCATGCTCAGGATGTGTCGCCTTGATCTCCCTCATGCAGTCAGTCTGAAAATGTTCCTCCCTAGAAATTTCTGATTAAAAAAAATTGATTTGTCTGGACTAAAGATGTAATGCTTTTTCTTTTTCCTTTTTTTTTTTTGGAAGGGTGGGGTTATTTAATGTAACATTAATCAGCTGACTTGATCAGACACACACATCAATGGAGCTTATCAGTAACTTCAAATGTTAGGCATTGGTTGAGATTTTAACTGTGCACTCCCAAATGCCCTGAGATCCAGCAAAAGGCTTTTGTAAGATTCTGTAGGGTTGAGGAAGGTACATCTTAGCCAGTGTCATATTGATTAGATTTGGTGCCTCTTGAGAGTCAAAATGCAGATGGACCGTGCACAGTGCTAGATTTAGGGGATTCCCAAGGTTGCTGTAGAATTGTTCTTGGAGTTGGCGTTACCAGTAGTTGATTCTCCTTGCCTAAAGTACAACCATCTTGGCTTTATAAAATTTGATTGGAGAAGACCTTTTCTGCCTCTGTTTCTCATCCCCTCTGAAGAAACCTAGCTATTTGATTGGTTAAATAAGTCATCAATTTGGCTGATTTGTCAGCGGTGACAAAAATTTCATACGACAAGAATCGGCATGTGATTGGCATCGACAGCTCAGACCTGACCTCCCAGGTCTCCCCATCCAGGCACATCGCATGCTGCTCAGTGGAAATTTCCCCGAGTCGGGGTCTTGTGGCATTGAGGGCGAGTTATTCTTAGCTGGTCACATTATGTCGGCTTATTAGCCATGAACACGTGAATATGAATGTGTTGCCATATCTGCACTTGTAGTGTGTGTTGTACAAAACCGTTCAAAGAATTCTTACCGGTAGTTTACTGTGTGGACTCTCGCACTTGGAAAAAATTGTGTCTCGAAAATTCCTAATATGGGTCCAGAAGTGGGCAGAATTTCAAGGTCGTCGAGGAAGAAGGTAAAGTCAGCTCAGTCACGTTGTGATTTGTATGGATTTTATCAGTTCTGTTTTAGAACCAATACTGATTATTTTCTAATGTTGATGTGGAGTGATTTCTGAGAGGAGACGTGTTTGCAGATTTCACTGTCAGTCAGTCAATTAATCAGTGACCAACTGGAGTGCTCTGAGTGTTTGATTGTCTGTGCTCAATTCTAGTCTTTTGAAAATTTTGAAAATATTGAAAACGCAGCTAAGTAGTTCCTGTTTAACCAAAAACTTGCTCTTTTTCACAGATGAGAAATTCAAGTCCGACAAAAATTTCTCTGCACTCTAGGGCTGTGCCGAATATCCGAATATAAACCGAATATTTAATCGATTGTCGAATCTTCGAATAATTTTTGTATAGTCAAATGCAAAATTCTCAAAAAGGAAGGGAAAATTTTCTTTTGTTTTCAATGAGAAAATTCACTATGGAGGCTCGTTTCAAGCAGATTGAAATGAAAAGCATCAGAAATTTTACAACAATTTAAAAGGTAAAATATTCATTAAACAATTTGAAAGGAATAGAAATTTTCAACAGGGCAAGAAGTCTTGTTCATCACTTAAATCTTGCTAAATTATGGCTGGTGATACTCCTAGATGTGAGAAGCTATAATATCGATCTTAGCGTACAATGGTGTGTGTCATTGTAACTGACTTTGAATATGGGTTGTTCATCAACAATACTGCCGGCCGGTACAACTGAATATTTGGATATCCGATCAATTGAAAGTTGAATATTTGAATAGTGATTTATTCGAATTGACTCAGTCCTACTGCACTCTGCAGAGTTGTAGGAAGCAAGCCATTTCAAGGCTCTTACTAATTAATCACAAGTCATTAAATCTCAAGTCAAATGATAAGGCATTCAAGAAATTGTGGAAGATGCATTCCTTTCAAGAGGGAATTGATTCACATGTGACCGCATTGCAAACTTTGAGAAAAAGTGCAGAGTGGCTAGACGCAGAAGTGCCCACTCTCTTTCAGACGCGTCTCATTTTTTACAACTGATTCTTTCTTTTAATGCCAAAAAAATGAACTGGGGTATATGAAGGAATTAATGAAACCTGATCGTGCTGTTTAGGATAGCAAAATGATTCAAGCCTCATTTACTTCAGTGACAAACAGATCAAATCTGCATGAAGAGACTTTGCCCTGCACTCAGTTGCATGAAAGGTTCTTGCTCATTTGCCACGCCTACAAATTAACTAATAATGTTCAAGGCATCATTCAATTTCCTCGGCGAGTCCTGTGACTTCCTCAGCTTGCCTTCAGGTTTAAGACAACTAAAGAGTCTGATACCTCACTATACGTGTACAATGTACATGTGTATATGCACTTTGTGTGGTGAAACACTTTACCTGTTGAACTACGTCAGAGGTTACGTACAGCATTAGGTGGTTTGGACGTCGTCGTTGGATTTGTCGGGGCTGTATGGTCAGTTTTTGTCACCCTAACATTTTAGGGTTGGCAAACCTGGAATGGATTTGTTGTCATGAAGCTGTAATATAGATGGCGTGGATTGTTATAACACATTGCGTTCTGTGAACTGCACTGAGAAAGCGTGGATATCATGTAAAACTCGTGGCGATGTATATTTTGTGAAGTTTGCCGTGCTTGTTGCCCATCATTCCCAAGAGTCTCAACTTGAACCTGATGTGAGCGCTAAAGTTAGACTTGAATTCCACTTCTCTCTCTATTCACGGTTGCCATGGTTAGCCGTCTCCAATTCAAACATTTTGCTCCATTCCAAAATCATTTGCCCTCCCAGGGAGGCAGCTCGGATAATTCTGATGAGCCAATCACGCTCAAGGAGTACCTGCAAGTCAAGAAGCAGTTGGTGTCTGCCGAGGCGAAGGTTTCACAGCTCCTGGCGATGAACAAAGAGCTTAACCAAGACGTGCACATGTTGCAGTCAATGGTAAGCGGCACCAGACGGACAGCAAAAAGGACAGTGACAATGACAGTTTCCATCATGGACATTGACATGCAATACAACTTAATGGTTGTAACATGTTGAAATAATTGTGGGGACGAATAGTGGCCCCGAAGGACATACTGACCATAGCTTGTGTACAAACAGTGACAGACGTATACACATAGATCTAATGGCTTTCACGTCAAAAAGTGATGGTACCACTAAGTGACAATGACAGTGACAACTAAACTGACCTTGACTCTGACAGTGAATTTTTATTCTCAAATACAGGCATTTCACAATAGCGCACCTCCAAGAGTTTGCAATGCGTTGACCAATCACAATACACAAAATAGGACGACCCAGTGCGCGTTTGAAAAGAGTTGACAGGTTTCACACATTGTGATTGGCCAACGCGTTGCAAACTCTTGGAGGCACGCTATTGTGAATCGCCCATATTGTAGGTTTCGTGAAAAACATATTTATAATGTTATTGCATTGTACCTATATTGGGGTAATTCCAGAAATTAGGGGTCCAAAAGTGTGATATATTTGTGTCCCTGTTATATCTCACCTATGTTATTTGATATGGAAATATCACTAGAATTGATTTCAAACTATTACTTTTTAAGAGAATTTGCATTAATTCATCACTCTTTGAAATTAGAAAATGTGTTCTGAACTTACAAAATCATATGTCAGATATGACGGGGACACAAAAAAAATGGACCCTTAATTTCTGGAATGACCCATTTATCAAAGCATTCGACTCAAGATGAATCTGTTGTCAACAATTTTTATATATTAATTGACCAATGAAACTTTTCTTGTGAAGATGAACTTGTCTCAGGTGTAGTTCCTTGCCTGCTTTGAAACTCGGATTACCGAAGAAATTATTTCTAACTTTGTAATGTTCATCATAAAGTTGCTCCAAAATATTCAAGATAAAGCTCTTCTGGCAAGATTTTACATAATTGAAAAACACTTGCCTTCTTTTTTTTTAGCTTGTTGGTCTTCGTCTACAAACTGAAGTCCATTGTTGCATTTAGCCCATGATCGAAACTCTGATTTCATCTATGCTGAAGTGGATCTTAAAAATTCATATTTCCCAGGTGGACAAGTTGAAAGAGGAGAACGAACAGCTGCGCGCCATCCAACGTCGCATGGACTTCCCCCAGAAGACCCACGACCTGGAGAGCTTCCAGGCCGAGTCGGCTGGGAACATCAACCGCTCGTCCCGGGGCTCAGGTCGACCCATGTCCATGATCGAGTCACGCTCCCACCAGAGGCCGTTTGGCATGTCATTGGACAGCAAACCCCTCACCGCGACCCAGGAGAAACTAACGGAGGGGAAGAGTAGGGTGGCCAACATTAATTTGCCGCCAATATCAGACGATGCCGATTTGACAGTGGTATGGGAAATCATCGATGCAATATTCCAGTATTTCAAAGGACTTATGCTTGCTCTTGTACCTAGTCTGTGCCTTTCACATACAAAAGTTGCTATTTCCTATCTGACAAGATGACAATTATACTACAATGGCAGAACACTCGTACGCATTCCAAGACTTGATTCACGCATGCATTTGGGAAAAATGGCAACACCCTGTCGGTCAAAGAGGCACGTAACATATGCAAAACAGCATTAGAGTGCAGTGCCACCACAGTTCTGGTTCCTATTATTCTGGGTGCGGGATTGGCCAGTTGGAGACACATGTTTTGCTTTGTTGCAGTGCATTGTGGGAAAAATTTGCCAAACTTTGTTCATTTTGTACATAAGGATGGGAATGGTACAGCATTCTTGGGCTTTAGAACCTGCTCACATTTAAGTTGGAATTTTGCTGTGAGCATTTAACAAAACTGTCACTCTCGGTCACGAGTGGTTTAAATTCATATTTTTCTGTGAGCATTAAAGTAATGTAGCTGGTACTCCGACACTGTGTATTAACAGGCAAGCAGGAAGGAAGACAGACCAGTTAGTCAGACGGACAGCGATTATGATAATGCCCAGGCTCAACCCACCGAAACAAGGTCAGTCAGGTATGGTTAACAGTTGACTGCTTGTAAAAACACATGTGTTTGAGTATTGATTTTGTCCAACTCTTTTCAGTATTCTCTGCAGTTTCACCAGAAAAATACAAACAGCAAATTATTTCTCATATTGAAACAATTTGTTTCAAAGTGCTGATAATGAAGGGTACCACCGTTCCGTGCGGGAACAAGAGATAGCAAAGATTTCCCTTGGTGGGAACTCACCATGAAGGTGCCCCCGGCTCCATGATGGAACCCAATCCTACCAACCAACCTGTTGGTTCTTCACCAGTGAGGAGGTGATTCAAGTCCAGGTGGATTTTCTGGGGTCAGAACAGCCAGTGTTGTGTCCGTCAACTTCTTAACGAGTGTGGTTTACGCATGATATTTTATTTCATTCCAAGCTCAAGCCAGCCAGACACGGCCAATGCCCCGGGATCCCCGCCTGTTTCGAGCTCCCCAACGGCTGAGCTGTCCCCCCGCAGCGGAGAGGGTGGGGACGGGGCATCGGACAAACCCCCCACCCAGGAGGATGTGGTGTCGGCCACGGACAAGATCACCAAGCGGATTCAGACTCTGCTGGGTGTGGCCACGGAGGGCAAAGTTGAAAGGTACATCTTGATAAATAGTGAAAAAGTAGAAATTTTTGCCACAAGAAAGTGAGATATATAATTTTATTACCTGTTAATCAACTGTTACTAACATGGTAAGACATGATAAATTCTATTGGAAACCCCTGAAATTGGGTGGAAGCCATGGGTGGACGGGGGTTCCAAAAACGGACCCCAAAATTAAAAGAAAAAGAGTGGACGATGATATATTAATCCATTTTATTTCTGTTTCTTCAGAAAGCATGTTAATAGTCTCAAATACATGCATAAAAGGTTACGTGATACAATTTCCAAAACAAGTTTAGCACCTTGAAAAGTTGGTTCCGGATTCCCATTTACTTTGAAATCGGTACTTTTGATATTTGACAATTTTGCTTCCTCAAGTTTTCTCATTGATAATTCAAAGTGAACTGGCGCAAAAGTTTCGTCTGAAGAGATCTTTGGTAGTTGGCAACTCATGAAAGTCGCCATGTTCTGAATGTGTCAGAATATTCAGTTTGCCTTGTTTTTTTCTCTTAATTAGAGTTCCTTTCTTTCTGTGTGATTTCAGTTTTGCGCCCTGCTCAGATCAGATACGGTCAGCTGTGAACGAGATGGCCAATCTGTTTCCAGAGGTAAGACAGTCAAAATCAAAGTATGCTTTTTTTTCCTTCAGCCACCTTCCTGTCAAATTCTGTTACCTTTGATTCCTAACCCCAGTGGCACATCGTTGGGTTGTTAACCACTTCCTGCCTGGTGGGATTTGCATATGTGGGACTAGTCACCGGGCGATTTTCAAGATTTTCCATTTTCAAAATTCTTAGGAAATTCATAACTTCCTTTACTGGACTTTTACACCCACATGAATGACTGTCTGGTGGCTACTCTAATCTGACAGGCAACCTCCGTTGACGCCCGAGTATTGCAGCCAGGCCTGCTGCCCAGTAAAGAGTGCCCAGATTGTGCGGTGTGGCGTAATTTCCTTTGTTCCCAAAATTGGCCCAGTGCGTTGCAGAATGGCAGTGGTGTCTTTTCAAATGCGGCCAGATGAGCATGCAGTGATACTGTATTGCTCATTGCTGGAGTGCTGGAGCACTTTTGTCCCCTCTGATAATCCACGGGCCCTGAATTCCGCAAACAGTAGTATACTGTTTCAAAACAATGATAGATTACCTCTGCTAATGCCAACTGAAACATGGCAATTCCCAGCAGCTTGGTCTTTTGTTCCGAGTATTGTCTCTTGTTACAAGGCCCAGCTCTTTTGTCTGATTTCGGGCACCCCAACGATGTGTATAAAGCCAACGTCTCTGGTACCGGGCACCCTGGAGGCGAGTGGTTTAACGCTGCTCTTTGGCTATCAAAAATAGAAAAATCAAAGGAGAAAAGTGGAATTTCTTTGCTCCACTGTCTCATCTTCATTTGCGACCTTGCTTCTCCAGAAGCACCGCACCGAGTCCGTCAAGACCCCTCTGCGTGTCCTGGTCTCCAGCGCTGCGCGCCTCCACACGGAGTGCAAGAATGCTGTGCCCTCCGACCCCAGTGTGACCCCCGACCTCCAGCGCCTGACCCAGGAGATCATCGCGAGGGCCTATGACATTGCTAAGTCGGCCAAACAGCTGGTAACCTGCTTCCAGTGACCCAGACAGCTGATGTCGGGCCATATCCACACAGCTCTAAGTTCCAAATTGCTCCGCACTGTGCAAAAATCTGTGCATAGTAGAAAGACCTGTCATGCAAATAATATTGTGTCAGGTTCTTAGGCAATTTTTGCCAAGCCAAAAATTTGGCTTTATGGCACTGTTTTCTGCATATTAAGGCTCAGTGGAATTGGGCCAATGGAATGTTGCTCAGACCAGTTCTCCTGTAGGATATTTTTAGGGACACCCTGGGAGTTTGGGGAAGTTTGTATTTGTGATTGTTTTTGTGAAAGCGGTTACGTGATGTGAAATCAGTGTAAAAATTTATCTTTTGTAATACTTTTGACTCGATATTTTCAATAATTTCAATTAGCAGGATACTCACGCTAAATTTGTTTTGTTGAGTGTGGCAAGGGATATCCAATTTGTTCATTGGTGAATATTGTAGCAGTGTAATACTCCTTGTTGTAGCAAAAAGTAACACTGCATTTTAGCTTTGCTACTTCCATGCCACACAGATATTGCTATACATGTACCTGCTACAACAACTGATTTGATTGGACACCTTGTTGTCAGGTGACCGAAACAGCTGAGGTCATTGGTTGATGGCTGCAGCTTTTCATTTAGTTTGTTATGAGGCTGATGTTTGTACTTCCAACTGACAATAGGCCGTGAGCGAACTACTTGGCTGCGGCTAGAGATGATGCACGAGTCTGTGGTGGTGGCTGTAGCCGGTGCCCATAGAGTCATGTGAGATTTCAAGCTGCGGCCAAGTGATTCATACACAGCCATGTATGAGCTGGCCGCTTTGAAGGACTTACAAAATTTTACAAATTGTACATAGTACTTTCTGCCAAAGAATGCATGTTTTAAAAGGTTCACACAAAGACTAGCTACGAAGACTAGTTCATCTGAAATGCATTTAGAAATGATTGTTTAGTACAGCTTTTGGTATTAAAATCAACTGTAAAAAGATTTTTTTTTCAATTGAGGATCCCACCTAAAATAATGGTAGTTTAGTTACAGAGCGTTAATATTTAATCTGTACATGCACTGGGTATGCATATTGGCTGCGCAAACTTTTCAAGAACCGATCTTAACCAGATCAGAAGCTATTTCTTACACATCTTGAGCAGTGAAATGTTTTCTGCATCAACAGTACAGGTGTGCTTTGGATTTCTGATGTGTGTCTTTCCCCTTTGCTCTGGATGACTGCCACTACCACACCTTTGTGTGGGCATTAGTGCATACCACACATACAGTCTATTCACCATGCAGCTGCTGGTTCAATGGGGTCTGCTGCTGGACAGAGCCCCCCATTCATGGCATGCCACAGCCCAGCAGTCGCGGTCAAAATAATCCTGCCGTGAAGGGGTTAAGCCGTTGTCAAGTGTTCATGTCGAATGAAATGCCAACATCTCACCTGCATTCATATTTGAGCTGCTTTGTAAGCCATGCATGCTGAGGAAAATCCGAGTTGGGTATGGAAAAGTTCAAACACTTAACTGGCTGGACCACCTGACCCATATTATATCGAGAGTTTGCATGGCTGCCATCTTGCAGGCCAGTGCTTTTGTTCCACAGAGTATGCACAAAGGAGACATCCCTGTGAAACATCAGAACTGCATTGCAAGATGGCTACCATGCAAAGCCTCTGTTAAACGCAACCTCGTACGAAAGCCTTGATTTGTTCTGGGCACATCAAATATCCATTGAACACACAGTTCGGCCTTTTACAAACAAATGTTCATTACAGACAACAAACAGGGCCAATAACACAAGCAGTGTTTCCCCACGGTTAAGAATTTCTGCAAACTGTTTAACATCCAAAAAACGTTTTACACAAGTACGTGAATACAAGCTACTATTAGAGTGATACAGTACAGTACTTCATGCTCTTATGAAGTTGCTGTCCCCCCAGTGTAGTCAAAAATAGATGGAACAAAGTCTACGTACCAGGTTTGACATAGAAATGGACGCTGATTTTTATTTCAAATCAGGAATCCCACCGGTTTCAATCCAGTTTTAACTGTCATGTTGATAACACTCAAAGAACAGGTTGCAGAGTGCTAAAGACATGGCGAAAATTAAATCAGGGAAGTACATTGAACGTGATAGTAATTTGACCATATTTTGCATCATAAAGAGCGCTGTTATAGCAATCCTGTAATATTATAAGCAAATGTTGAGGGTCCCGATCTGTTGAATTCTTTTCTTTTTGACTTGTCCAGTCCCTTTATAACAAGGTTGTAGCCGTACCAAGGTAAATAGGATGGTTCCAGCAACCTGTGTTGTAGATGTAGTCGACTGTACATATATCCATATTAAATAGTGGTCATTTCTGTCATTTAGATGATTTCTGCTATGTAGTAATGAAATTTAGTAGAAATGATATTCAAATATCCAAACTGTATTTTGTTGTGGAAATCACTTTATTGCTTACCTACACATGAATCAATTTCCATTAGATGGACAAATGACGATACAGGAATTTAAATACAAATATTTGCTGCAGAAGTAGAAACTAGAGGTTTAACTTTTTTTGACACAAGTATTAAGTACATTTCAAACGTTACTTTTCCAATTTGCCATTTCTTCCATATTTATTGTAAACACGGTTTTCTTCTGCATGCCACTAGCATTACAGCACTTATCAAGTAAAATAAATTTGATATGTCATTGGCAAAGTTAGTCCGTTTTGTTGATATTTGTCTTGAATGAATTTCGGCTCAGTCGTGGGTTGTTCACAGCTTTTGAGAACGACTTGATTTACCCTGAATTTTTAAACAGTGTATTCTCTCAAACTTGGCCAGTTGGTCTATGAAAACAATTTCCATTCTTCTCGACTGTTGCATCGTCCCATAAATAATTTTTCCTAAGCCTGTTTCGGTGGGTGGAGTGGTAGATGATGGAAGATCAGATAAGCAGCTGGTCGTTGAATAGAAGTACGTGTTGGCTGTTAAACAGGACGTCTTCCTCCACCTGTTCAACCCCACTCAACATCTTTACCTCTCATCACACATTCCACAGAGGGTGGGATGAGAGATGGTGGAAGATTAGGGATGCCCTGCAATGCAGGTGGCAGACTGAATGCCATCACACTGTCTTCAGCTGATGCATCCTTTGGCATTCCTCCCTCTGTTTCTTGCCTAGTCTCTGCATCAGTCTTTCTAGGCCTCTTCCTTGATCTCTTTTCCAACCAATCTTCTACAGTTGGATTATCTTGTAATCTTCCTCTTTCGGCCTGCTCTTTTTGCCTCGTCTTCTCAAAGTCCTGTTGCTTCCTCTTCTCAATTTCTAAATACACAGGAAGAAAAGTTGACAGGTATTTAAAAACACAATCATACAGATGCTTGAATGTAACACCCAAAATACAATGTGAAATTTCAGAATACAAACCAGCAAGGAGTTCTTGTCTTCTCTGAGGTGTCAGATGTGAGAATCGGCAGTTGTGACCAAACATACATTCACCTATAAACAACACAAAATATACTTTCTAAATTCCCAGCGCTGGTAGGATGTGGCAACAAAAAAGAATGTATGTAGCAAAAGAATCTGTCTCAAACACGGAAGGCTATAAGTATTGCGTCTGTGAGCAAATTGAAATCCAAGAATGATGTACAGTGTACAAGGTTTTCTATATTGCCTCAATGTAACTGCACACCATCTCAAAAAACTGAGGAGTTGATGCTTTTTGCAAATTGGGAAAAAAGGGTGTCACGAACGAGTGTGCCCTGTTGAATGGATGCCATAAGAATATAAAGCAAGGAGTTTCACCTGATTGGTGAAATCGCTGGCATGGCCTCTTTGCTGATTCCTCTGCTAAAATATCTTCAGGTTCTACAAGGGGGAAATACAATCAAAAATTAACCACGCAGTGCAAGACTGGCCCTACCCCAAGAACTGTGGGGTCCAATGTCTGCTCTGCTCCCATGGAGCAGTGCGGACGTCGGTCCCGACCATTCTGGGCTAGACTAGACCTAGGTAACTTAATTACATTTCAAGACTGTATCCAACTAGCATGTCCAACAAGAAAGTTTCAATAAGTTGCTTCAAATAAGTCGAGTCAGCTCATGCAAGTGGTGAAAGTAATTTTAAATTCCCTGAAATCGGTTACATGCAACGGTGAAACTCCATGTAGGCCCTACATGTAAACAGCAGTAGGCCCCCTGGGCCTTCCGTGCATGCACCATGCATGCCGTGATCAACAAACATGACAAAGGAAACACGGGAAAGCTGACCTTTATAAGCGAGATAGTGAATTTTCATCCGCGATTGATGCTGTACTCCTTGTACGTGTTTCTTACGATTCTGCGCATTATCTGCAAAGGATTTATCACAATAATCACAATAATAGCGTCTGCCCATGTTGTGACAAATGTTTTTGCGGTGTCTGTTCCCTCGTCCGCGAAAAGTAATCTCGTTTACGTACGTACGGCCGTACGTACGTAATTACGAGATTACTTTTGACGTGCGCCCTCTGTTGACGATATAATTGACAGCTTCAATTGAAAGATGGCGGCTTGCATACTCACATGTTGACATTTTTGGGGGTTTGTTTTGGTCGAAAAGCCTATGAATTGATCGTATCACCATGAAACTTCTCAAACCAACGTGGGTGAATCATGATGGTAAGTACTTGTGAACCAATTTATGGCTTTAATTTGAGACGGAAATGTGTTTTTCGGTGCTTTTTTAAAGTGAAAGAAAAACGTCGCTGAGTGAGCGTGGTGACGTGAGTGTGCGTACATCTTCACAGGGTAATGCTATAGTCACTGTCAACACAGTCTTTAATTAAAGTTTAAAATGTCATTGACGTCAATACATCCAAAATGCATTTTCAGTCAACTAAAAAGGTATAGGACTGTAATATTTGGGCTAAACAAGAATGGTATGAGGTTACCTGGTGACTTTTCAATTTTTTATACAAAAAAATGATCTCTAGACTTAACAGCATAGGCCTATCCAGTGATCATCAGTTTGCCTTAAGTCATTGAGCTTGGACTCCACCATTTAGGTGTGGGTGTGCAGGTAATGCAAATACAAGTATCACTATCAATAAAGCTAGATAGTGTATGTAAGACTTATCTCAAAATACTGCATGAGTGATTTTGCACAATGGAAGAAAGTCATTGTGGGAAGGAAAAAGAGGCAGTGTTTGTTCCTTTTTCCTTCCCGTCTTTCTACTATTGTGCAAAATCACCCATGCAGTATTTGCCGTAAAGCTTACACTATATATAGGCCTATATAGCCGGCGCCGGCAAAATTGTATCTTGCCGATCTTAGTTGGCAGTGTTCTTTTTGATGCATACATGTACATGAGTGAGACTATAATAGCTTATTAGATTAGAGGAAAAAAGTCCGAAATTGTAAAATGGTCTTATTCCCTACCTTATGAATAAGATGACGCAATGACTGGTGGTTTAGAACCACACTAAGATTTGTCATGGCAAGAATTTCTAAGTCAAAAAAACTGCTACTACGCATGTGCCCGGGAAAATATCGTTCAGTATAAATTTGCCAGCGCTGCGTAAATATACATGTACACTGCCATAAAGTCATGTGGGCATTTAAATTTTCAACTTTAACCCTAACCCCCCAAGGGTTGCTGGCCCTAACCTTCCCCATACACAAAGTTAAACACCCATATGGGACTTTGTGCTCAGCGGCTGTTGGACTTAGTTTTTCTGAGGTATGCCAAACCCAATGCAAAAGCCAGCTGTCTGGGCCTACCAGACCTATCCCCACAGAATTGAACACTTTACTACTGTTTAATTCTGTGTGGTTGGGGAAGGTTAGGGTTAAAGACATGAATAACTGATCACTGGGATAAGCAAAAATCCCACATAAGATTTTTTGGGGAAAAGGGGAACCTCTAATGTTCTAGTTCAGTCTCCCACCAGATTCACACATTATGACAAATTTGCATTGAGGATGCTGTTTGTACTGTAGCTGCTACTTCTTAAATTTTGCGTTGTTGTACGTATTTTAGATCCTAAATTTTCTCCGTTTTTCTTAGCCGTCAACATTTGCTATGTATCTCCTGTAATTGGTAAGATTTTCGTAGTGTTTCTGTCTTAGTTTTTAATCTTTTAACAGTAGCTATTACTTTATTTTCCAACTATTACTTTTGGTCCGGTAATGCCTCTCTGGTTGTGTATTACGAGTATCACGACTGCCATGATTCTGCATGAATGTTTTCGACTCCAGCTCGTAGTGTTATTCTGTATCACCTCTATTCATCCGACTGAATTCCTGAGGAATACTGAGACTATCAGAGAGAGTAGTAATGTAAGACGACATTTTGGAATATTCCATGCACCCTCTGCAGTTCACTTAGGGCTTTCTTTAGTGCAGAAGCTGCCCCGTTCGGGATTTAATCCATCTAAGATGGCATTTAGTTAAATGGTCCAAACATGGGCAAACTAGTCTGGTTAGACCTTGTCGTGACCCTCCGCAGGACATTACCGTATTTATGGACGTTCCGCTCAATAAGCCATTTGCGAGTTAAATGTGAATAAAATCTGGTGCACTGAGTTATCCGACTGCACATAAACGTTACAATTTGAATTCCCCAGACTAAAGACACTGTTGCTATACCTCGTGATTCGGAGCAAGCTTTTGCATAGTGACCACCATCTCTGGAATGGATTGGTTCCTTTGTGCCCTTCTTAACCATTGAGAACAGTGTATTGTTGCAAGGCGTCTCTTATGTAACTAAGCAAAGCTTGCCCCGAATCATGAAGTATAGCAACAGTGGTTTTAGTAAGGAGAATTCAAGTTGTTATGTTCACATGAATTTAAAGAACTCAGTGTACCAGATTTGGGTCAAAGTTAACTCACAAAAGGCTTATCCAGGTACATGTAGATTGTGACCAGGCAACAATCACAACGGTTGTAGTGCTTTTAAGAATTGCTTGCTCTCAAATCATGAAAGTAAAACCTGTACCCGCAATCAGTCGTTCAGAATTCGAATGGCTTGTAATCTCCCTATTCCGACTGAATTGTTTCAAATCCTGAAAGCAAACGAGATTCTTGGATTCAGGGGAAGGCGATCAGGTCGTTGCAGGTACATGTACACATGTAATATTCCTGTTCATATTGGATAGAGACCAAATCATGTTTATGACCACGATCATGAAAACCGCACCTCTGTCTTTATTCCTATTATGGTACAACCGATGGAGGTTTCTGAGAATCCTTTAAAACTTTGTGTCTTGAATGCCAAATCTCTGAAAATAAATTGGCAGATTTTGTGGCATATGCTATCAACAGCAAAGCCGATCTGTTTGCTGTCACTGAGAGGTGGCTCACAGACATGGATGTTCCCCATAAAGTTGAAGTTACTCCTCCTGGTTTTAGATTATTGGATCATCCTCAGAAGACACGAGTTGGGGGAGGAACTGCTGAGGCTAATGATCAATGTCCCAAGTGTGAATTCCTGATTCTTGGAACCTGGTAACAGTTGCTGAAAATAAACATTTCCAACGTCACGGTGGGCGATTCTATAATTCCTCCATTCACGTGCGTTAGGAATTTTGGATCATGGTTTGATTCAGAAATGACAGTGGACACCCACATCACTAAGGCTTGTTGTGCAGCATTTGTCCACCTTCACAATCTTAGGCGCATCAGTAGATTCCTCTCTCCCGATTCGCTTTCAGTGTTAATTCACGCATTTGTGACCTGCCATCTGGACTATTGTAAATGTAATAGTCTTTTGTATGGTTTGTCAGCAGCACAGATAATGAGGTTACAGCGAGTCCAGAATGCTGCAGCTAGACTTCTTACCAATACACCCAAGTTTCAACACATAACACAAATAATGTATCATCTTCACTGGTTATCTGTTTTGTACAGGATTAACTTTAAAATCATCCTGTTAACATACACAGCTATCCATGGTCTTGCACCTACATGTAGATACTTAATGAATCATGCCATCATTAAGAAGGAGTCTAGATATCATCTCAGGTTAGCAAGCAACGGTCCTTTGTTAAGTTGCCCTAACAGTAAAATGCTACCCACACTTACTGACAGGGCATTTGCAATGGCTGCTCCGAAATTATGGAATGCCTTGCCATGGCACATACGGTGCGAGCAGAGCCTTGCCGTTTTTAAATGTAAAGTAAAAACTTTTTAATATTTCATTTGCACAGGAATATTGCACTTCAAGATTCTTGAGTTTATTAGTTGTATCTTGTAAGGTTCTTATTACTTTTGATTTCAATGTAGGTTTAGCTGTGATTCGTAATTTTAGTGTCACCGTGTCTGGTATAATTACTTTTCTTTTATCGTAGGTAGGGTTAGAGGCGTCTGTCCCCAGGAAAGATAGAGACATCACCGATGCCAGCAGGGTTAAGTTTGGATAAAATTATTTTCCCTGTTGGCGGGACAGACGTATCCCCAAACTGTGGTTTGGGTACTAGCCTGGTGATATTTATTCATTTATCCTTTCATTTCTTAAATCAATTCATTTTTACATCAACTTGTACTGCCTTGTTGATTATTTTTATGGAAACAGCACCATATAAATTTTTTATTATTATAATTATTGTTATTATGACCTGTTGGTTTATCGTATAATGTCACCACCCCTTTAGCATAATGGTATGGTCTCAGCTCAGAGCTCTTCGGAGGAGGCAAGTTTTGTGAACTAATAATGGCAATAAGCCATTTGTGAGTTAAATTTGACTAAAATCTGGTACTTTGTGTTATCTGATTGCATAGAAACGTAACAAATTGAATTCCCCAGACTAAAGACACTGTTGCTATACCTCATGATTCGGGGCAAGCTTTCGCAAAGCGACTACCATCTCTGGAATGGACTGGTTCCTTTATGCCCTCCTTATCCATTGAGAGCAGTGTATTGTTGCAAGGCGTTTCTTATGTAACTAAGCAAAAGCTTGCCCTGAATCACGAGGTATAGCATGGTTTGGTTTTAGTATGGAGAATTCAAGTTGTTATATGTATGTTCACGTGAATTTAAAGAACTCGGTGTACCAGATTTTATTCAAATTTAACTTGCAAATGGCTTATTTTCAACAGTCTGACCTTTTGTGGTTGAGCCAAAATGTCCTTTTGGCTAGTACCGATTCCTCATGATTGAATTGCCGCTTCTTTTCATTTAGAATGTGGTTTAGAGGTGTTGACGGTGTGTTGACGGTGCTTATTATAATCATCTTCACAACCATGTTGACCAGTCACCCGTTATTCACGTCACTTCTACAGCATTAGGTACAGTCAAATGACTGAGTCCACAAACGGAATTCGTCCATGGTTCTTTTGCTGCACAAAAACCTGCTTTCAAATGGTGGAACCGGTCAGTCAACTGAATGACGTGATGAGTTACAGTGCTTTCATGGTTTTAGTGCTGAAGAGAGGCTCCTAGCCTCACCAACAGATGTTCTCAAGGTCAACTTGATAGCCACAGGGCACATGCTCACTTACTTCTAATTAGGGGAATAGAGCAATTGTGTTGTATCAGCTTAGTGCCGCTTGTTTAATCGGAAAAATTTAACATGGGGTCTTCATTGTTCTTGGTTCTTTTTTTTTTCAGACAAACCAATTTTTGGCATAGACATTCATCCCGATGGATCTCGATTTGCCACAGGCGGGCAGGGTAAGACAGCATCTTGGACTGGCATCGTCCATACCAATCCATACATTAACTCGACTTGTCTTGAAAAAATAAATAAACCTTTGTTGAATTACCAACTGACACTTTTGGAGTCTTTGATCTTGACCTAGGCCAAGTGAAATCCTACCAGAGCAGAGCAGTAGGTGTATAAGTTGCTGTGTTGTCCATTTTAAATTGTATCATTGTACCACTTCAGCCAGTGCAGAGTTAAAGCTCAAAGAATGTGAAGTCCGCAAGTGTTGCACTCAATGAATACTTTCTTCCCTCATGTAAAAATGTTAAAGTTTTATTTTGAAGTATTCCGCAGGAGAAAATGGCTTGTATAATTTTTGTTTTGTTTTGTTGTAATCAGGGGAAGATTCAGGTCGAGTCATCATTTGGAACATGGCCCCTGTCCGTAAGGAAGAAGACGAAAAGAACGAAAACGTTCCCAAGATTCTCTGCGAGATGGACAACCACCTTGGTAGGTCTAACCAGAGAATTTCCTGGTTTTTTAACCCTAACCCTACATAATACTACAAATTACTACTTGTAGTAAAATGTATAAATCAGCGCTGTCGCTTGTAAGAGGACATGACCTGATTGTTCTCTGAAGCCATAAGATACAATAGATACGACAATGTACCATACAGTGCTGTGGCACTATGAATGCATGGCTTTATTGTTCTCTGTATGAGTGACAATGGAAGTAACCTAGCCAGAAGTAGTAATCTGTAGTGCTGCATTCTTCAGGCTCAGACTATTACTTAGTATTTTGTAGTACTTTAGTGTAAGCCAAACAATATGCTTCGCAGTCAGGGGTAAAATACTGCCATGATGTTCAGTGTTTTTCAGTGTTCACCAAATATGTGTCTTTAGAATGGAATAGTTCCTACAGTGGCTTAGACATATTTGAGAGATAGAGTTCTATCGATTTATCCTCCCCTTTTTGAGGTATTTTCAGAGAAACTTGTTGGTAAACTCACTGTATCAAGTTATGGAGAATTTGTGTGGATGTTGTTATTGTTATTTATTCGACCTCAACACAAAACAACAAAATATATAACAAACAAGTGCAGTACAAAAGAACTAAAAGGTTACAAATAACAATTAGGGGCCTACGTCAAAAAACAAAACGAAAACAAGAGAGTGAAAAATCAAGCAGGGGACACCATATACATGTACAGCGTAACACTCTTATAACAAGGCCCTTTGGACTTTACAAATTACCTTGTTATAACAGTTACCTTGTATTATCAGTCATGGAAAACAAAGAAAAACAAAGATTCGGGACCTAAAACTATCCTTGTTATAAACGTGACTTTGTATTAAACAGCGCTCTTCTTAACAGAGGGGTGACTAGGCAAACATAGACTACCAAGTAGATGTATACAAGGGAGATGCATTTGGGTGTGTCAGGGAGCATGCGAACATGAGACGTCAATCATAAGAGGGAACACACACATAACGAGAAAATACCCGCAAGTGGGAAAATGACATCAAACCCAGACATGTGCTCAAGAGATTGTACAAATGTGATTACTTTTGTGCCTTCTTGTCTTGATTTCATGCCAGCATGCGTAAACTGTGTGCGGTGGTCCAACAATGGGTATTACTTGGCCTCCGGTGCTGACGATCGGCTCGTCATGGTGTGGCAGATGATAAGGTAAAATAAGCCCTGGTACTTTGCACTAAGGTTTACCAGCTTCCTTTTTTGATTAACTGTAGAAAAAAAATGTCTATAAAAATGAATTTAATTAATTTTCCCTTTCGTCAAAACAAATATATTTCCTAAGTGTGACATAGCAGCTGTCCGTATTTTTATGAGAGCATTATTTAAGCTGTGAATGTGGTTGATCTTGAACATTGTGGTAACTTTGACCCATAACCTTTGACCTTGTTTTTTTTTCTTTTTTTTTCTTGCAGCTATGGGGGCGCATCGCGGGCATTTGGGTCGGGAAAGAGCAACATCGAACAGTGGAAGTGCGCTCACACTTTGAGGTCACACACAGGAGGTTTGCAACATTTTGTGCACCCTTGAGTTGCACCCAAGAGATTGCTTGGCAACATTTTAAACCTCAGCTCTCGATGAATTTAAATATGTTCTGCATAGCTGAAAGGAGAAGCCTTCTGAGTAGAACAAAATGCAAGTTACAACAAATAAATTGAGAGGTTTGATCACTTTTTATCCTACTCAGATGTTCTCGATCTTGCCTGGTCCCCTCACGATGCTTGGCTGGCGTCCTGCAGCATCGACAACACCATTGTCATATGGAATGCGCTCAAGTTTCCAGGTGAACAGAACAGAATGGAATTTGAACCAAAATAACCACAACTTAGTTCTTCAAAGCTGGCATTGAAGAAATAGAATTGACTTAACTGATGTGGGGTATGGTCTCATGCAATTTTGAATACCACAAAAGTTCTGCCATGTGCCATCCAGTCCGTGTGAACCGTGCTATTTTGATTTATATTTGTCCGTACTCGTTTCTGAGAAAAAAATTTTTTTTTTGATTATTATTTTTACCACATCATGTATATACATGTATTGATGTATTTAAAACAAACTGTGGATGGAGATCCATCCCCCAAAAAGCGGAGCTTGTCGAGTACAGATTTCCTGACATAAATTAAGTAGCGTAGAATATTAAGTCCTCACCAGTGTGAGTGTTTCATTCCAAAATGAGATACAGTGGAAGGCCGCTATAACGAACATGACGGAGTGCATGCTAAATGTTCGGTATAGGGGTTGTTCAGTATAGCGAAATTAACTGCTGAACATTGTGTTGCCATGTTGAATAGCGCCCTCTCTTGTCTAACTGAAGTGCACCATCTTGTGATATTATGATTCACTGTTTTCGTGATATTTTGCTGTTGCATTCACATTTGAGGTTTCTTGAAATGTATCCGTTAATTATTTTTTGTTCTTTATTAAATCTTGAGTTACAAAATTGATATTAAGTGTATCCTAAAAGTCGTGAAGCTACCGCTCAGGATCGATCTCTGATGCATGCTGTGGTGAATCTCGGTTGATTTGCAACAGCATAAGGTTCGGTAGGTTTTGTGCACAAAATATTGGGAGCCAAGGACGATGTTCAGTACAGCCGAATGTTCGGTATAGCGGTGTTCGGTATAGCGACATTCTATTGTAAACTCTATTGAGCAATGTTTCCACAGTTATTGGATATTTAAGAACAAAAAAGAGTGTAAGGGGCCTTCCTGAATGTTATTTTTCACTGTTCAGACTCACTGAGCTGTGTTTTTACAAAGCAGAACTCTTAAGAAACTGGCAGTAGCCAACAACAAGATGGTGTATTTCAGATACGGACTAAAAGTGCATTTATCTCGTTTTGAAATGAAACTGTTCAGTTCTTGAAGAGCAGCACCCTTGTTGTCTAAGAATGCGTATTGTGCATTCACAGTTGAAAAAGTTTGCCAGAATGGTATCCAACGTCTGTTTTTGATCTCCAATTTCAGAGGTCATATCAGTACTCAGCGGGCACTCAGGATTGGTCAAAGGTGTCACATGGGACCCTGTCGGAAAGTACATAGCGTCGCAGGTACATGCATATCACATGTCATTCTCAGTAACCTTTGAACTATGACCTTTCAATTTTAGCATTTTAAGTGGTATGAAATGTGTCCATTCTATCTTTTCTGTTGAGAGAAATGTTTGCCACTTTTAATATTTTATCAAACAGTTCAATACAGGCTATTCACAGTGCAATGCACCACCCAGAAGTTGTCATGGAGAGGCCTTTTCGTAGCACATTATGGGATAAATATTCTCAATAGTCTTGACAAAGTCCCATTTATTAACTGGGCTTTGTGCGGAAACTGCAATTTTTCCGATTGTTTATCTCGGTTGAACATTCACTATTGCTAATTATGAATCGGCGTCAGGTGGTACCAATGATGGTTTTGTGTGGTGCAGGGAACGACTCAATTAAATATCCCAAAGTTAGGTACCAAAGTGCACTCAGTCGTGGCAGCGTGTTGACCCTAACCTTGAAAAGTGGCCCGTCTGCGGCAGACTTTTGGTGTAGCACTGTATTATGAATCACCCATATTGTATGTATCTTTTTTGTCCAGTTCCATCTCACGAACCAGACTTGCGGCGTGTTTTGATTGAGTTTTGTTTCTTGTACATGTTTACATTTTATGATGAACAGTTTTTTCTGGTAACGCCAGCCACACGAATCGAGAGATCAGTAGATGTGAAACTTTTGCTTTTTTTAGTCTGACGATAAGAGTCTTCGGATTTGGAGAACAATGGACTGGAAAGAAGAGACTTCGATCTTTAAGCCGTTTGAAGAGGTATGGGTATTGGTCATATTTTGCCCTGCCATGAGCTGGTCAACAATCCCAATGGTTAGCAGTGTTGTAGTCGAGTACTTTCCGAGTGCCAACGTTCTCCA